GAAAACTTATTATTCACAGAATCCAATTTGTTAAAAAAAAAAAAAAAGGAAAAAAGAAGAAAAAGTCATCATACAAATAATGCCTGATTTTGACCTACAAACAAATTAGTTTGCACTTACAAGTTTAAGTCACTACTGACATGGCACTTTTAAGTCACTCGAGTCCAGTTCCACTGATGATTGTTATAGGGGTTGACCTACGAGTAGTGGTCTCCTTAATTAGTGATCAGAGGTGTGTATTCAATCGGATCCCAAGAAGTTTCGCAAGCTTTATCGGTCTAAACCCTCCTCCACCCTTTCGCTCCCGCTTAGAAAAAAAAAAGGGCGCAGGAGCCACCGAGGGGGTGTTAGTCTTTACAAAACACCTGCCCCACCCACCTCACACACAATAACCTTCCGTTCCAGAACTACAGCTACTGTCTGAAAAGGAAGCCTGGCTGTAGGGCGCTCGCTGTTCGGTAACCCAGGTAATCAGGTGCAGACCTCAGAACTGACTGGAGCTGTGTTCACCCAGTCGCGGAGCAGTGTCCAATTTCCCAAAAGGGAACCAAGATCGCCACCGCGGAAACCCGAGCTCCAGGCCTGAGAGAGGGGCTCTCCTCCCGCAGATGACTCCGGCCCTGGTCTCCCGTCGCCTCCAGGCCTCTTCGGGGGACTCGGGCCTCTCGGATCTCCTCCCTGGAGCTCGCCGCTCCCCCAGTCCGGCTTGGCGAAGGAGCCCACCGTCCCGGCCCGCACCCCGCAGGCCCGTCACCAGGCAACAGTCACCAGCTCTATGGGCCTTGGGAAGGCCTACCCAGGGCGCGGGTCTTTCCCTATTCCCTCCTCGCTAGCCTTAAGAGCCCAGGAGGGAGTGTAGCAGGTGAAGGAGATCGCCCGGTGCCCGTGGGCGGTCACTCACCTCTTCCCTTCTTTCCCCGGAGGGGCGGTGCTGGGGCTCGTTTCCCCCGCCCCCCCAAACGCTTCCTGGAGGCTCCTGTTCAGCCTCAGAGTGTGGCCGTGGCCGCCGGCTTACTCCATAACCTCCTCCACCACCGGTGCGGCCTCAAAGGCTGAAGCCGGAGGAGGGAAAGGGGAGGGGAGGGGAGGGACTGGGGAAGGAGAGTACGGGAGGGGGAAGAAGACCGAAAGACCGGCCGGCCAGGGCATGACGTCACTTCCGACAGGTTCGGAAGGGGCGGGGCCTAGTGAATATAGGCCCCGCCCCAACCCAGTACTCAGGGGCGGGGTTACACGCCGGGGGAGGAGCCGGAGCGCGAGAGCTAGTGGCGGTTCTTTCGACCCTGCGGTTTCGTAGCCTGGCCAGCTGGAGAGGGGTTCCCGGGCCATGACCGAGCGAGAGGAGTTTCGTGAGCCCTAGCGGTACCTTCTGTCGGAAAAGGAGGACAGAGAGCCCTATAGATCGTAACCAAATGCGTACTGAAGGGAAGGGCAGCTGAGAGGAGCGGGTGGTTTGGACCTGACTCCCGAGGGCCGTCCCTTTCCCAGCCCACCTGCCCTCTCTGGTCCTGGGTGAAGAATCACTACTCTTTTTCTCGAGCTACGCTCCCTGGGGTGTCCAGGGATGCAGTGCTTCACAAACATTAATATGCACACGAATCATCGGAGGACTTTGTTAAAATGCAGTTTGGATTCAGGAATCGGTTCTGATACTCTGCATTTCTAGTAAGTGCCCAGATAACGCCAACGCTGCTACAGGTCAGCAGGCTTTACTTAGAACGACAAGGGTTAAAGTACAAGGTGGCAAGCATGAGAACTATGTCCTTAACCCAGCCTGCTTGTTTAATGAAGGTTAGAGAGACAGATGGTCCACCCTTGTCTGCACCCACCATAGCCTTTTCCACCCACTCCGCCCTACCCTCTTACCTACTCGCCCATCACTCCTTCACCCATCGAATTCCTCGCTTTTCACTCCTCACCCTCTACCCCTTACTCCTGTCTCCACAGTACCCACAGGGTATTGGGCTATTATTTCAAGGATAAACAGACTGACAGTTTCTGTAACGGAAGACATTTGAAGGTGACGGGGCTTTTATTTATGTCATTTTATCATAAACATCAGAATATTATGGAATATTGGGCATCCTGTTTCCAGTCAAAGAAGGAGAGAGCTTTAATTCTTGGATTCTAACAAAAGACCTAGAAACAGCAGTCTAGATGTTTCAACTTATTTCCTTATTCTTAAAATTGTTTAATTAAAAATTCACTGGGGTAAAGAAGAAATGAGGAGTGACTCCTTAATGTATGGCTTTCTTTTTGAAGTGATGAAATGATCTGAAATTAAATAATAGTGATGGTTGCACAACTTTGTGAATGTACTAAAAAACCATTGAATTCTACATTTTAAAAGGGTGAATTCCAGTGTGACTGGTTGTCAGAGCAGGTGACTCTTGATCATGGGGTCATGAATTCACACGCCCCACCTTGGGCATAGAGCCTACGAAAAAATAATAATAATTTTAAAATAGGGATCTCATGGTGGCTCAATTAGTTAAGCAGCTGCCCTCAGCTCAGGTCATGACCCTAGGGCCCTGGGATCCAGCCCCACCTTGGACTCCTTGCTCTGCGGGAGCCTGCTTCTCTCTCTCCCCACTGCTCATGCTCTCTCACTCCCTCTCCCTCTCTCTCTCTCAAATAAATAAAATCTTTAAAAGAAATAATCTAAAAAACAAAGGTAAATTTGTGACATGTGAATTATAAATATCTCAATGAAAAAATTTTACTGTCTCCAATTAATTGAAAATGTATGTATGTATATTATTTAAAAGTTCACAAATATATATAATAAAAAGTGAACAAAGCTTAATTGTTTGAAGGTTAGTCTTCTAGACCTTTCTATTTATTTACATATATTTGTGTGTAATTCAGGAATTCATTTTTATGTAACTAAGATGATAGTATACACATTTTCTACTTGCTTTCATTTTTGTTTCGTTTTTCCTACTTAATGAAATCCTTCCACACTCTAAATTTCATTCTTCCAAATTAGCTGTTTAATATTCCACAGGAGAGCAATGACATAATTTATATAAATGTACTCCCAGGTTTATTGTTTTCAGGTTTTCATTATTCCTCACAACCTTTTTTCTTACAGAACAACTGGCAGATAAATTGATTCATTTTGTCCAGCTCCTTGGCCTAGATCTCTTTCATGAAGAACTTGCCATTGGTCAAGAAAGGCAAAATGAAGAAAGAAAAAGCAAAGAGCCTCATAAAGCCACAGCTCTAATAATCAAGACTCTAATGTGTATGTGCATTTCTTTTAAATATGCCCTAAAATAATATTCTTCAAGACTAAGTGTAGCTAGCAGTTAATCATGAAACACTAAGGGTATATAAATTCACACAATAATATATTCCATACCAGTGAAGCAAGTTCCTGGGTTTACTCTGTTTTTTGTTGGCAGACATGGTGCAGTCTTAGTAAATAGATTATGGTTTACATAAGATGGGAGGAAAAGAAAAGAGGTGCTGGCAGCAGATATGCCCTATAAAAGCATAAGGTTGTCAAAACTGGGAAACTTACATATTTTTGTGTAATCTAAATTTGTAAGAAAGATGTTTAATTTTTTTCTTTTCAGGATGCTCTGGTCCTTTTCAATCTACTCAGCTATGGGATGGTATTATTCACGCCCATCAGACTCAAGTGGAAATGAAAAGGAGACATCATTTATGAACATACAAACACTGTTTTACTGGTTCTGTTCCTGTTGATGTCGTATTAAGTCATTTTATGCAAAATATGTGCCTAAGTAGTGTAATGACACCTCTCTTCTTAAAGGAGTTTGTCTTGGGACGCCTGGGTGGCTCAGTTGGTTGGACGACTGCCTTCGGCTCAGGTCATGATCCCGGGGTCCCGGGATCGAGTCCCACATCGGGCTCCCAGCTCCATGGGGAGTCTGCTTCTCCCTCTGACCTTCTCCTCGCTCATGGTCTCTCTCACTGTCTCTTTCTCAAATAAATAAATAAAATCTTTAAAAAAAAAAAAGGAGTTTGTCTTTGCACATTCTAATGAATCATAAAGTATTTGAACCAGTAGGAATGAAGCTATTGGAAAATGAAAAGGAACTAGAATTTGAAAATTCAAACAGTAGTCTCTACAGATGTCTAGGCAATAAATCATCTTATATTTTTTGCCAAAGAAGAAAAGGATTCTGCGAATGGGTTAACTGATGAAATAAAAGTGAAGGAATCTTTAAGGTTAGTATCAGCCAATATACTGTAATATATTGTGTTTAGGCTCGGACAGAACTGACTTTGATGAGCTCAACTTAAACGTCATGCTTTCAGATTTATTCAGAAGCCAGTAAAAGAAAAGCCACGTGAAAATTAACCCATGTCTGTGTTTGCTCTAAAACCTCTATGGAAGACATTACCACATAATATTTTCAGAATTACAAGGAAAATTTGTATCTTCTTTGATGAGTTATAAGCTTTATAATTTTGAAAAGTGACTTAGCCAAAGTAAAAAGAGCCGAGATTATCTGGAAACTAAGAGTAAAAATTTTCTATTACTTCATAGTAATCATGTTAACTTTAGAATTAGTATATTTTATTTATTTACAATCCTAATTTGTCCTCTCTTGGTGACATTCTATTATCTAACAAATTATTACTGGCGTTTTTTTATTGTAAGCTCCCTGAAATCCACTGTGGAAATAGGGAATGTCTAAATAACTTTTAATAAGTTAAAATGTATATTTGAAATTCTGATCCCACATATAATATAGAGAATAGAATAGAGAATAGAATAGAATAGAATAGAATAGAATAGAATAGAAAAATCCACATATGCTTTCTTAACAGACCGGGAAATGAAATGATTTCAAATCCTCTAGCACAAGAGATTAGTGAGGAAAGAATAAAGGAACTTATTCATACAATGAGTGGGAATATGGCTTTACCTTCAAATATCATATTTGACAAAACTGTTCTCTCACTTTCAAAAGAAGGTAATTTCAGTTTTCATTATTTTTTCCAGAACTTTGTAAGGAAGAACTGATTTTTTAATTACCTTATTTTTTAGAACAGTTTTAGGTTCACAAAAAAATTGAGTGGAAAATAGAGTCCCCATGTATCCCCTGCCCCCATAGGTATCAACATCCTGTACCAAAATGATATACTTGTTACAATCTGTGAGCCTATTTTGATACATCATTATTATCCAAACCCTATAGTTTACATTAGTGTTCACTCTTTGTGTTATATATTATATATTACAAATATGTAATGACATGTATCCACCATTATAGAATCACACAGAATGGTTTCATTGCCCTAAAATTCCTCTCTGCTTCACTTATTCATTTTTCCCTTCCCCATAACTGCTGGTAACCAACTTTACTGTCTCCAAGAATTGACTTTTCAAATATGATAAAAGTAGTGTGTTTGGTGTATTGATTATCTACTCCTTTATTAGAGTTTCCTTCTACATAGCAATTTTATCAGACAAGACAGGTGAGCCAACATAGATTCAGTAACATTTATTTTTTTATAATGACTGTGATCAGATTAACTGAAGTGTTGAATCCATACTACCAGAAAAAAGACATTTAAACTCACTACCAGTCCTCACTATATATAATCCAAGACCATCTTCTACAAGCATATCCTTTTTCCATTGTATAAACCCTTCCCAAACTTCTCCCTACCCTTTACCTTTCAGGACAAACTAAGCAACCTGTTGCTACACTTTATTTACTTCATCTACTTGTGGTTTTCTCCTTATGTTGCCACTAAAGGTGGAAAGAAGAGCCCCATGCCCAGGGCAGTTAAGAGGGATGCATACATAATTCATGAATGGTTACATCTTTTATTGCATTTGGTCAAATCATTACAGAAGCAAGACAAGAATGATTTGCACCTTGGAGGAGCAAAATATAACAATAATTAAGAGAAGTGTCCTAAGGGAAAGACAAGGTGCCCAAAAGGGGGACAATAAAAGAGAAGTGGGACTAAAAGAGAACTCTGAGGAAGACTAGTGGACACTCAGAGGAAGAGGAGCCAAACAAAAGTGATTCTTATCTACTACACATAAAAAACAAGTTGTCCCATCATTTCCCTTTGAAGATGTAGGGTATCTCTAAAAATTCCTAACTAAAGATGGCTGTAATTTATCAGTAAATATGTCAATTAAAAAATAGTTTCCAATTATCGGGTCTTTCCCTTGCTAAGCAATCTGTTATGCATTTTGTATGTATGATTAACAATAGGCCTCTAAAGTAAGGATTAAAACTCCCATTTTATACTTGAGGAAACTGAGACTCAGAAGGATAAATAAATACATAAAACATAGTAGGAAAGGAAAGCTGGCATTCTGATGTACTTTTAAAATGTTATTATTGAATGTGAAGCATTCAAATAGTCCTACATGTTTTATTAACAAAAATTAGGAGTTCCCTACCCTTCTCCTCTCATTTCCTCCTCCCCAGAGACATCCATCTACAACTTGTATCTCCTATTTCTAAATAGCATGCTTATAATGCCATCTCATGATCTTTTGTTTTAGATACATCTATTAATTTCCTACAGAGGAGAATCAGGTTCTAGATCTCTCCCCTCCCTGATATCTTATCTCCCAAACATCTTTTTTTTATTAAGGTTTTATTTATTTTAAAATAAATAGAAAAAGAGAACAAGTGGTGGGAAGGGCAGGTGGAAAGGGAGAGAATCTCAAGCAGATTTGGCACTAAGTGCGGAGCCCACTCAATCCCATGACTCTGAGGTCACAACCTGAGCCAAAACCAAGAGTCAGATGCTCAACCAACTGAGCCACCCAGCACCCCCCACAAAATACTTTAAATGGTACATATGTTTTTATATACTCTTTTATGGGTGATAGAATTAACAGAAAATGTTAGATGAAATTAAGAAAGATATATGCAGATTAAATACTACTGCATTTAGCCAGAAATTTTAAACATTAAGTCATAAAAGAATGAACTATTAAGCTTTGTAAAAAGAAAAAAGAGAGTTTTTATGTTAAAACAAAAATCATCCAAGTCTGGGAACCACTGCTTTAGTTTAGACTGATAATTTTATAGATAAGGGAACAGACTTAGAGAAATTAGATAATTTGCCAAGTTTCCACATTTAACTAATGTCATCAGATTCAGACATAGATTTCCATACTTTTATCAGTGTTTTATCATTATTGTTGCAGCAAAGTGTTGCTAACTTATGACATGAGAATGATTGAAATGTGTTTGGTGTATGTTTGCTCTTTGCTCCAACTGAATGTGTCAGCCTTCGGAATAGAGAAACACAAAAATTATTTTAGTTGTTCTTTCTAACAAAAGCATAGTTTGCAATGGAGTTTTTCATAGGTTACTAAGAAGAAATCCTTTTATCTTCAAAAGCCTTTTAAATCTCATAGTTTGGGGGGTTTTCTGGGTTTTGTCTCTGTAAAAAGGTTTGCAAAAGAGAACTAACTTGAAAATTCACTGATTGCTCATGTATTTAATGCAAAAAAAATTCACTTGCTTAGAAGAAAAATGTTCAAACCAAAATTTTCTGGAGAAAGTACATTTGGAAGTTTCTCTCATTGCTAACAAATCAGACATAAACTGAAATTATGATTTCAGGAAAACTGAGACTCAGAAGGATAAATAAATACATAAAACATAGTAGGAAAGGAAAGCTGGCATTCTGATGTACTTTTAAAATGTTATTATTGAATGTGAAGCATTCAAATATCCACTGAAATCTGATTTTTTTTCGTGATCTTCTAGCATAAAACAACCCCAGCAGACATATTAACAGACATAAAATTAGGAATAAAATAATACAGGCACTAGCTGATTTTATAAAATTAAATAATTAGCTGGCCAACAAGACAATTTAAGCCACTTTCTCTTTGACAAAACATGGCTGGTTAGAGGTCCGGGCTGGCTCAGCTGGTAGAGCATGTGACCCTTTTTCTTTTTAAATGTTTCAAGTTTTTATTTAAATTCTAATTAGTTAACATGTAGTATATTAGTTTCAGAGAAGAATTTAGTGTTTCAACACTTACATATAACACCCAGTGCTCACAAGTGCCCTTCTTAACATCCATCACACATTTAGCCCATACCCCACCCACCTTCCCTCCAGAAATCCTGTTTGTTCTCTGTAGTTAAGAATCTCTCTTATGATTTACCTCTCTCTTTTTTCTTTCCCCCATGTTCATCTGTTTTGTTTCTTAAATTTCACATATGAGTGAAACCATATGGTATATGTCTTTCTCTGACTCATCTCACTTAGCATAGTACTTTTAGCTCCATCCACACTGTTGCAAATGGCAAGATTTCATTCTTTTGAAGGCTGAGTAATATTCCATTACATATGTATACCACCTCTTCTTTATGCATTCATCGGTCAATGTACATTTGGGCTTTTTCCATAATTTGACTATCATTGATGAGAATATGTGACTCTTGGGGCCTCTGGGTGGCTCAGTTGGTTAAGCATCTGCCTTTAGCTCAGGTCATGATCCTGGGGTCTTTGGATAGAGCCCTCTCCCCCACTTGTGCACCCTGCTCAGTGGGAAGTCTGCTTCTCTCTCCCTCTGACCTTCCCTCCCGCCCCCGCTCCTGTTCTCACTCCCTCTCTCTCTCTCTCTCAAATGAATAAATAAAAGCCCTAAATAAATAAATAAATCTTTTGATCTTGGGTTTGTAAGTTCAAGCTCCATGTGGAGTGTAGAACATACTAAAAAAAAAAAAAAAAAAGGCTGGCTAAAGGTATGCAATTGGCAGCACACCTATATAAATTTCATCCAAGAAATAGAAATATCAGTTCCTCTATTTTTGAGAAAAGCCATTTCTTAATCTCCAAATAACTAAAAAACTACTTCACTTGAGTTGAAAACTCTGCTCGCCGTGGTAAAGTAGCGTGATCACTGCTGGCTTCATTGCAAATTTGCATTTGTTTGGTACGAAGAGTTAAGGTGCACCTTTGCTGAGACTTGTTTGCTTTTTACAGTTATTTGGTTTTTTACTAATAATATCATGACTAATATTTCAAAAATATATGTGTGTATTGTTTTAGAAATGTTAGGGTGCAGAATACAACCTCTCCCTCATTTCTGTGGGGGTAGGTCTCAGCAATGTCGATACCGGCTAGAGCAACTCCATTGTTAATACGTTTTACTCGACTTCCAGAATGTTTGGACAAAGGTTTCCTCAGTGGGAACATACTGAACACACTGTACTCCTCCTACCAAAACATTTGCACACTTAATGAAATTGCCTGTTTACTTACTTGTCTTTATTCCCACTAGAGTGTGAGGTACTTAGGGACAGTCCTTTTCTTGTTCATCATTGTATCCCCATTGAATGGCACAACACTTAGCTGTTGGTAAGTGTAAACATTTAATGGATAAATGACGTAAGTACAGTCTCCTCACTGAAGATTTTCTTTTCATATATACATCCTGTACATATATATGTATATACATATATATATATATGCACATATGTACATGTGTATATAATCTATCCTAAATACTGGATAGGTTGTACATTCATCAAATGCAGAGTCTACCCCCCCCGCTTGTATCCTCCACTCAGCACAAAGATCACTGAGTATGAAGTGCTCCATAAAGGTAACAATAATGATGGTATGTGTCACCACATATCCATCTTGAGTTTGGGGGGCCTGGGTGGTTCAGTTGGTTAAGTGGTCAGCTCTTGATTTTGGCTCAGGTTATGATTTCAGGGTCTTGGGATCTAACCCTGTGTTAGGCTCTGCGCTCAGTGGGGAGTCTGCTTGTCTTCTCCCTCTCTGTCTGCTCCTCTTCCCACTCTCTATCTCTCTCAAGTAAATAAATCTTTTTAAAAAATCTATCTTGAGCTGATTTCTCTACACAGAACTAGCTATTCTGTTTATCATCTCTGCATTGGGTTACTATGTTCTAGACATGCACATTTCTCTGCTCTGTCTCCTTCAGATCCTTGTTTAAATACCATCCTCCCAATGATAGTTTAAAATTATAATACTGGAGCACTTGGGTGGCTCAGTTGGTTAAGCGTTTGCCTTCAGCTCAGTTAATGATCTCAGAGTCCTGGCATTGAGTCCCACATCAGACTCCCTGTTTACTGGGGAATTTGCTTCTCCCTCTTCCTCTGCCCCTTCTCCTGCTCATGTTCTCTTCCTCTCTTGAGCACGTGCACTCTCAAATAAATGTAATATTTTTTTAAAAAGGATTAAAATTGCAATACTAACCCATCTTGCACTGCTTCTCTTCTTCTCTGCTCAGTTTCTTTCCATAAAACTTATCACTAACAAACACACTACATATTTCACTTCTTGTTTGTTTGTTTCTCTGTTTATTGCCTCCCGTCCCCCTCCCCTAGAATATAAGCTCTGTTAAGGTAAGGATTTTTGCCTGTTTGGGTTACCATTATATGTCTGGCACCAAGAACAGTGCCAAGAACAAACTAGGTCTCAATAAATATTTGTTGAATAAGCTAATGTTCTGCCTTGATGCTCTTGCAGAATACCCTTTTTTCCAGTTTTGGACTTATTTATAATATATCTACTTGTGTTTCTCAGTGATTTCATAAAATTTGCCTTTGCCCATTTCATATGTGGCTATGTCAGCCTCCTTATTTAGGGTATGGCTGCTGAAAGTCCACTAGTTTTTATGTATTTTTTTCTAACACCTGTTCAGTGCTATGCCAAAAGATTAGTACTAACAAATGTGGACTAATTGATTAGAGGCTATTTATGATACCAAGTTTTCACTAAAAGACAGCTAATTTGATTTATTTTTGGTCATTAACTCAAAGATAGCAAAGTGAGATGCCTTTAGGAGGCAGACAGATCAGAGATCAAGGGAGTACTTAATTATCAATCATGTAAAGATACATACATTATTGTTTTGCTTGAAATGTATGGCCCTCTCAGGCTATTTTTCCTTTTCCCACTTAACACAGAAATGGAAATATATGCAGGGAAAACTACAGCAAAACCAATAGGACAGTATCAAGAAAATGGTAACTGAGACCCTGCCATACTGTTTGGGGTACAACGGAGTGGTAGGGTTTATGGTTAACTGGAAATGACATGCCAACCCGAAGAGAGTACCCAATAATTCATACCGTCTGTGGTTAGGCATTTGAATTCAAGCCCAGTGTTTTATGAGATCTTGTGATTTTTTTACAAGAAAGCTTGAAACCCAGAATTTTACAAGAAATCTGTCATTTTTATATAAGTTAATTTTATTCAAAATACTTTGTAACCAAACAACCCATAGCTATGGTCCAAATTTAATGCATAGGCTACCAGGTTGGGAGGTCTGCAAGAGATTTACAATAGCTACTACTTTTATAATTTTGTTTGACTTAAAGGAAAAACAATATATTAATTATGATCTCATGATTAGGATAATGAAAAATTTCATTAACTCTTAAAAGAAATGACCAAAAACCCAAGTTAAGATTAACCTAATACTGTATTTTAATTTAAAAGTAAGAAATACAGTTATCTGTGCCACTTGAATAAAATTATAATTAGTAATCTTATATTCTCTTGGATGTGTACAATAACTCTTAAGCTTGAGCAGCAGTTTTTTATATTTGGAATTAACCTATTGTTGGCTTTCAAAGCTAGGTCAGGAGCATCTGGGTGGCTCAGTCAGTTAAGCAGCCAACTCTTGATCTCAGGGTTATGAGTTCAAGCCCCATGTTTGGCTCCATGCTGGGCATGCAGCCTACTTAAGAAAAATATAAATGAGGTGCACCTGGATGTCTCAGTCATTAAGTATCTACCTTCGTCTCAGGTCATGATCCCAGAGTCCTGGGATCAAGCCCCACCCTGCTTGGCAGAAGGCCAGCTTCTCCCTCTCCCACTCCCCCGATTGTGTTCCCTCTCTCACTGTGTCTCTCAAAATTAGTCTCTTTAGATTTGGTTAAATATAAGCTAGACTTTATTAGATTTTATCAGTTTTTAGGTAGTTAATGGAAATGTTAACTATCTATTTGTTTTTGTTTTTAATCTGGGGTGGACAACTGGTTTATTAATGCATCATTTAAATGTCTGGATACTTTCCTGACCAGTTATAGTTACAGTTAATCAGCAGTTAGTACCAAAAGGAAAGACAGACTGAGTATACTGAAGATACTCTTTGATGTCATAATAAAATACTATAATCAAGAGAGAGATTGCCTATTAACTGATGAGTATTCTGATATTCAGTCAGGAATTATTGAACTTCTAGGTAAAAGAAGATATTTAAACCTTAGTTTTTTTTGTATAATAATATTTTATTTTTTAAAGATTTTTAAAATTTATTTGACAAAGAGAGATCACAAGTAGGCAGAGAGGCAGGCAGAAACAGAGGGGGAAGCAGGCTCTCTGCTGAGCAGAGAGCCTGACATGGGGCTCGATCCCTGGACCCTGAGACCATGACCCAAGCCGAAGGCAGTGTCTTAACCCACTGAGGCACCCAGGCGCCCCGGTATAATAATATTTTAAAATATTTTATTTATTTATTTTATAAAGAGAGAGAGTAGGGGTGTGGAAAGGAGCAGAGGGAGAGGGACGACATGCTCAGTCTCATGACCCTGAAATCAAGAGTCAGACCCTTAACTGACTGCACCACCCAGTTACCCCTAATTTTAAAGATACAAGTTTCATGGGGAACCTGGTTGGCTCAGTCAGTGGTGCATATGAATCTTGATCTCAAGGTCATAAATTCAAGCCCTACATTGGATGTAGAGCTTACTTAAAAAATGGCAGAACATTTAATAAACTGAGTATTACATTTTAATATTTTTCTTCAGTGGTGTCAAAGTACTTGATGAAGTCTTTTTTCACAACACTAATGTTACCTGCCATGTAAATTGTACTATCAAATGTAACTAATGTAGTATAGGACATTAGATCTAAGGTAACTTTATCACAGGGGCATTGTAAGAAACATATTTTAATATAGTATAGCATTAGAGAGCTGAGGTATCTGGAAATATTAATTTCTGATGTATTAACTTGGCGATCTTTTACAAAAATAAAAACTGAGTGACATACATTATGTCACTTTTTTAGCTATGTAAGTAGCCATATAATTTCATGTTAAAAATAAAATACTATTTGATAATGCTGGATGTAATTATGCATGTGCTTTCCACATAGAATTATAAAGATTTATTCATTTTTTATTAGAGAGAGAGTGTGTGGGGGTAGGGGGAGGGAGATGGGAGAGGGTGGGTGGGCAGAGGGAAAGAGAGAAGAAGAGGGAAAGACTCTCAAGCAGACTTCTCGCCTAGCTGGAGTTGGGCAGGGGGCTTGATCCCATGACCCATGAGATCATGACCTGAGCCAAAACCAAGAGTCAGTCCCTCAACGTACTAAGCCACCCAGGTACCCTATAGAATTATAAAAATAGTTTCCTGTGTGTTTGAAATATTTCACCATAAAACCTTCTTCCTGTAAAAAAGAATCCACAAACCAAATACAGCATCATAGTGTTATAACTGACTACCAAGTATTACAATCTCCATTTTTTTGTAACCCATGTTACAGAAAATGGGAAAAGAATAGAAGCACTTGAAACAGCATAACTGTATCTAGGATTGTTACTGCGCAATGTTAGAGAAGAATCATGAGGGCTACTTACCTTTATAACTCTTGCATCAGAACCTAACACCCACAAGTTAAAAAAACGGGGAAAAATTTTCAATAACTGTTTAATGATTTTCTGGTCTTTTGTAAAAAAAAAAATCATTTAAGCTAAGGTTAATCTTTCTGTTTACAGTGTGATAACAAAACAGTGATCCTGAAAACTCTTGTCAAATCAAAGCAGTTTTGCAAATGAGATCATTATTGAAAGTATGGGCAGGGGTTGCCTGGGTGTCTCAGTCATTAAGCGTCTGTCTTCAGCTCAGGTCATGATCCCAGGGTCCTGGAATAGAGCCCCACATGGGGCTCCCTGCTCAGCGGGAAGCCTGTTTCTCCCTCTCCCACTCCCCCTGCTTGTATTCTCTCTCTTGATGTCTCTCTCTCTGTCAAATAAATAAAATCTTTAAAAAAAAAAAAGTATGGACAGAACAACTAGTCTGGTTTTTACTGGAGTATCACTCTGAGCTATTCAAGGTATCTCTGGCATTTTGCCCGGGCGCATTTATTACTAAACTATTTGTGTCCAACAAAAAGGTAAATCATTCACTTAATAAATAATTTACTGAGTACGTGTAATGTGCAAAGTTTGAAGGGATGCTGTTTCCCCATATCCACTAAAAAGAAGAAGCAGACTTAAAACAATGTCAATATTTGCAAGCATATTCATACATTTCTTCAACCCATTTCTGGTGCATTACTAAGTGCCAGGCACTGTTACAGCGGTTAGAGTACATCAGCATACAAAACACAATGATGCAGGCCCTTGAGGAGTTTATATCCAAGCAAGGGACAGCAGACAATAAAAAAATACACATCATATAAATCATATACATATAAATCATCAGGTCGTATAGTTTGATGGAAGGCAATACATGGAATACTTGCAATATAAAGGGAAAAATTGCTGGTTAAGGGGATTTAGGGTACTAGAGTGAGGGAGAGCAGGAGCTTACAGTATTAAGGCAGCCAAGATTAGCCTCATTAAGAAAGTAAGAGTTGAGGGGTGCCTGGGTGGCTCAGTGGGTTAAAGCCTCTGCCTTCAGCTCAGGTCATGATCCCAGGGTCCTGGGATCGAGCCCCACATCGGGCTCTCTGCGCAGCGGGGAGCCTGCTTCCTCTTCTCTCTCTGCCTACTTCTCTGTGATCTCTGTCTGTCAAATAAATAAATAAAATCTTAAAAAAAAAAAAAAAAGAAAGAAAGAAAGTAAGAGTTGAGCAAAGCCTGGAAGGGGGAGAGAGATTCAGCAAAATGGCTGGGAGGTCTGTGTAGGATAGAGGTCTTGGGCAGAGAGAACACTTCTCTCGCCCAGCTGGAGAATGCTTCTCTTCCCACACCCAGAGAGAATGCTTTCTATTGCAGAGGACCTAGGGATGATGCATGCGTGGATGCTGAGGAACAGCAAGAAGTGGTGAGCAGAGGGGAAAGTAGTAGGAGATGAAGTCAGAGAAGTTGGGGGCCATTGTAAGCTATTGGAGAAACTTTGTTTCTGCTTGGAATAAAATGGGGGATCACTGGAGGGTTTGAGCAGAACAGTACCAGTAGCCTGATTTGACGGACATTTATAAAGATAATCCCATCTTTTTTTTATATATATATTTTATTTATTTATTTGACAGAGAGAAATCACAACTAGGCAGAAAGGCAGGCAGAGAGAGAGAGGAGGAAGCAGGCTCCCCGCTGAGCAGAGAGCCCGATGTTGGGCTCCATCCCAGGACCCTAGGACCATGACCTGAGCCGAAGGCAGAGGCTTAACCCACTGAGCCACCCAGGCATCCTGATAATCCTATCTTTTGTGTTGAGAATGGGTTGTACAGGGGCAAAGGTGGAAGTGGGAACATCTTTTTTGAAGGCTCTTGTACTAATCTGGACAAGAGATATGGTGACTTGAAGAAAAAGAGTAGCAATAGAGTTAGTAAGATAGAGTCAGATTCTTGATATATTTTGAAATATCTTAGGAAAAGGATTGTCTTTTAACCTCACTCTATATTTTAGTACCAGGCAGTGGCATTTTTAGCATTATTTCTCTTAAAGCCTCTACAAAGAATTGTTCCTTCTTCAATTTCTTGGTTTAAAAAAATTCTGATGTCACAAGAAACACATTAGCTCAAATTTTGTAGCAGTTCTGTCAGCCTTAACTGAATCTTCTTTTTCATTATTTCAGAGAAAAAGATGGTTTTAAGTATATATAATGGAAGCAGTCCCCCATTTATGAATTTTGTTGTTTTGTTTTAAGTAAATGTTACGCCCAGTGTGGGGCTCGAACTCATGACCCTGAAATCAAGAATCACATGCTCTGCTGACGAACCAGCTGGGTGCCCCACCGCCATTTGTGAATGTAGAATAAAATATATTCAAGTCAGTTGTTATTCTGCACCTAGTTTTTCATCAAAATAATAATAATTATTATTATTATTGGGGCCAAGTTTACATAAATCTTTAATTCTACAGTCACTAAACCAAAATTCATGTGTATGATTTACTTGTCAAATAGTCCCCAGATTCCAAGTAGGAATTACGATGAACATCTCCCCTGCCCTCCCCTTCCTTGCCACTTAACTTCTGCACATTCTTCTTTCTCACCCTACCTCCTCCTCTAGGTAAATAAATTATCTTTTCTACCTATGGCCAAAAAGTTACCCTGTCCTGTCAGAACTAGCGGTGTCCTAGAGAAACTCACTGGTTCAAATTTTGTAACAAGCCACAAAAGAACTTGACATGGGGGTGGGATTCAATAAATGAGGGGTGAGAGGACGCTTCTGGAAACCCAGGATAGGGTATTTCAGGGAGGCTGAGATTTGGCTATTTATGATAGGGGCTAAGCTTTTCCCTGTTACAGGGTTTACCTATGCTATCTACAAGCCTGTCTGGAACATTTTTCTCCCAAACCTTATGGCTTATTCCTTCACATCTGTGAAGGCCTCTGCTTAAAATGTTATCATTTCAGAAACACAGAAAGCTTCCCTAAGATAGCTACCCATCTTCTTCCTTCTAACCTCTTACCCTCTTTTATGCTTTCTTAATGGCACTTAACCCTGCCTGAAATTATATTATGTGTTTGCTGATTTTTTAAATTGTTTTTCTCTCCCAAGAGAACCTAAATTTCATGAGTTCAGAAACTTTTCTTTTCTTTTTTTACTTCAGAAGTTTGGTTTGTTTATTCATCACCTAGGACAGTGTCTGGAACATAGCAATCACTCACTGAATTTTCACTGAATGACAGAATGAATTAATGGGGACAGCTCCATGACTGGAAATCAGCAGTACATTTGAAGCTAATGGAAATGTATCCCAGGGTCCAGGATAAAAGAGCTGTGTGGGGTGCCTTGCATAACAATATTAGCGGATGGATTATTTACCCCAGATACATACAGTAATCTGGGATTACTTTTGTGTAACCCAAACTGGAAAGGAATATTTATCTTTTTTTAGAGGATAAAATTGTAATATATTTAAAAGCAACCATTTATATATGGACCATGTAATTACAATGTAAGATTATTTAGACCACTGTTTTATGGAAATACAAATTTTCGTTATTATAGGAGAGCATTACACTAAGGATTGGTTAGCCTAGTTTCAGTTAAAGTACATACATGAGAGTAGAAAATAGAATATGAAGAATTCTAAAAAAGTTTCAAGTATTTATACCCTCTATAATTCAGAGACCTTCTGCTACCCGCCCCCTCTCTCCATCTGCAGCCCTCTTCCTCTACTCATTGGTCAAAAATTTTGAGACGTTTTTCTTATGTTGGATTCCTGGCTAGAAAAAAAATCATATTAAATATTTGAAAATACCTGTTTTTATGTTGGATAAAACACAAAAACTGTTTTATGTTGGATCTGGTTGTAAGAAACTTAAGAAGTTTCTATGTGGAGAAGATCCAGATGCCATACCAGATATTGATTCAGATTTGTCCTTTCTTCATCATTAAGAGACTATTATAGCCAAGTAAGTTGGAAAGGAGCCAAGGGAGAGTGTGTAATAAATATATAATAAAAGATAGTTATACGAAGGTAATTTTTTTATTTCCAGTGCAAGTTCTTCTGTAGTTCTTTTTGAAAGCTCTTTGTCTGATTACCTTTAATCTAAAAAGGTGAAAATTTTCTCTCTCAATGCTGCTTCCAAGTCTCACCTTCCCTTCTATTACCTACCTGCCTGATTCCTTGCTCCTATGCTCTCTCTCACATCTCTTTTTCTGACTGTCTCAGATTCTTTCTCATATGTATCATTCTTTCTCATCCCTTTCCTTATCTTTTCTAGGAAATGACCAAGTTTTATAGAGGAACCTGACCTTCCCAGTTGAATAAATGCCATGAATTGTTTCACTCGATGTCTTGTGGCAATTGATCTCATTCTTTAGTTTAGATTTTCTTTAAACTATCAAATATTTTCAGTATTAATTTCCTAAGATTGTCATGTGAGAGGCAAAATAGCGTAATAGATCTAACTGTGGGTCCTGGGACCAAATTACCCAGACAAGTGGCTTAATCTCCTTGTGCTTCATCTTCCTCATTTACAAAATGGGAATAAGAATGGCATCTACCCCCCTGGGTAATTATTAAATATGTCACATTTATACTCAATAATATCATAAATTTAAAAATATTACAAATATTTAAATTGTATAATTATTTAAATATTAAATACTATTAACATTTACTATTACTTGATACTAATATTGAGCCCTACTATGTGTCAGACACTGTGCTGAAAACTAACAGAGGTTTATGAAATTATTTCTTCTACACAATATATTTTGTAGGCATTACTACTATCCTATTTTATAGGTGAGGTAATTGAAGCTTTAGAGAGAAGTTAATTAACTTGGCCAACTAGAAAAGTAGGTAACGTTGTTATTCTTAAAAAAACAGTTTCTGAGGCATTACTAATTTTTAGAAAAACATTCATACAGTGGGACATAAATTTATTTTCCTGACTTA